TTAGCTTGCCGCGAATCAAACGTATATAGATCTTGATGTAGGTCAGGCTCTATCAAATAAGGGGGGTGGGAACTACCGAAAAAGCGCCCTCCTCTCTTTCTCTCTCTCTCTCACACACACACACTAGCTTTCCACTGGGTCTGGGGGCTGAAACTTCCCGAAATCACAAAAGAGTTCCCCTACCGGGTCTGTATACTTCGTGACTTTGTTCCCGGTTACCGGGTCTGTATACACTTCGTTTTGATAAAGTTGTTCATTGTTGTTATCGGTAACTGGTTGCACAATTGAAAAGGCCGACAGGTATGATACCTTCACATTTGTGAATACAAGACAATAGTACCTGTTAAGGCAAAGCATTCTTCTTTCCAGTATCTGCATTCATAAATTCTTGTTCGGATAATCTTTTCCACTAAATATTGAGGATTCGTCCCTTTTATCGAATGGGCATCTTTTACAGTGCGATTCGCCATCTTGAATCAAGGGCCAAGGGAAGCTATTCCAAAATTGCGACTTATCTATGCTCCGAACGAAGGTGTTTAGGGCCTAAGTCTTCACGTTTTGTGCGCAAATACTTTTATAATAATGACATGTCATTTGTTGATGTTTGCTTTTTTGAAAATGCAGTTCTATACTACTGATATCATCATAGCTTTGATATTCATGTGAAAGAATGCAAATTTATTGCAAGGCACACAAGGTGCTTTTTTAAAGAAAGGAATTCCTTTCAGAAAAGAAACAAATGGCTAGAAAAATCGCTTTCCCACGGAACATATTCTATTTCAACAATCAACTTCCTGTAAATAAGGACAAGATAGGTAACTCTCATCTAATGTGCATGAGGATTTGTTATTAATTTGTTGGGGAAATTGTAGATCTTTCACGAGCCCTACAGACTACCTACTCGAATGACAATCACCTACATCAATACGTCTCGTTGTTTTGACACCAGTTTATACTGAAATAGAATCAAAGTAAGCTCCTTTTTAAATTAAAGGTACAAAGAAAGAGTGGTGGTCTTTCGTGAAGAATTACTGGCCGTTCGATAGTCCATAGTCAGTAAGATAGATTAGTCTAGAAGATCGACTCGTTGAGACTGCTGGGCCTCGCCTATAGCCTATAGAGAGTCACGAGTGATTTGGCTACTTTTCAATTTAATAAATCTTTGACTAGCCTGCCTTCTAGATTTATCCGTAAAACCATTATAATTTTAATTTCTCCATGATACTAATACTAATAACAGGCGAGATTGTGTAGATAGCTGTGAAATAGATTGTCACTTGTGACTGTCTATGATTCTAGATCTAGATCTAGACTATGCCAGTCGTTGTCATCTATAGGAGGTAAAATTGAGGTTGAAGTAAAATATTTGTTTTAGAGTAGAGTCGGGTAACTTCGCCACTCTCAGTTGGCTCGTGATGAAACAAGCCTACACCTCCTCTAGGGCTCTAGGCTGAATGTAAATTATCCCAGTTTCGTCTGCAACTTTTCGTAGCCAATGAAATTGCATTCTTTTTTCAAGTGGATATGGTGACGGGGAACTTCGCCACCATGTCGGGGAAATTCGCCATACTGGGAGATCATATTTCTTTACATATAATATAGATATCTAGATCTATAATGTAGATTATTAAACACATGTGTAAAACCTGATCTTTCGTTAAAAGGCCATCTGCGGGTGAGATTTTCCTCATTTTTACCCTGTTTGACCATACATTTTTTCCCCTCCATTTTTAAAACCTACATCCATTTCCTTCAAAGTTTCGAGCGCCCGCTTCAATCAATTATATGTTTAGAGGTCATTTAAAAATGGGTTTTAAAAAACTATTTGGCAATTTTGGGTCAATTGTTTTTAAATATTTTCTTCACTTTTTTCAAACATTTATTTTTCCAACTTTAAATTACATCTCCTTTTTCCCCCATCTGAATAGCTTCATTATTTTACACATTGTCCATCCATAGGTGACCTATACTGAAATAGAGCCCTTTTTGAAGATTGGATAAAATAACCAGCACTTTTGTTGGGAATTTTTTAATTTTTTTTACTGTTTATCCATGTACATATTTCCAGAGTCCATAATTATTTTTAAATGTAATATTACAAATCTGGCGTTATTTTTTCATTACATAGGTGTTGTAGTCTTGCTAAAAATGAAAACTAAGAGAGAAGAGATAGCTTTTGAAATTTGATGAAATTATCCAATATGACGGATGTTTGCAGGTTACCATGGTTACCATGTGCTTATAATAATAAATATTTACTTGTATATTTATTCTTTGCTGTCTGACTATATCATTGTTGCTATATATAGTTAAGGGATATGGATTTTAGACATTCCACCAGCAGATAGCGGCTAAGCCCTTAAAGGGAAACCTGCATTTGCAGCTGCAATCTCTTTGTCAACCATTTTATTTCTCTCTCTCCCAGCCCTCATTCCAAAAGTAGATCGACCTGAGACATGGTCGGCAAGAGAGGTTTTTTTAGAACGCTAGATTTAAATTCTCAGGCTGCCCCAGAGCAGCTTTGTCCACCTTTTAAAAACTGTTTCAACAGCTTTCTCCAAATCACTTATACTTTATAAAGTTTAAGTTTGTTATTGATTCCCGTGCTTGTTTTGCCCACAATAAAAGTGGTAAATCTAAGTAAAACAACAAATGGAAAATCAATAGACCTGCGTGTCGAAGTTCCCCGACAATCGAAGCGAATTTCCCCGAAAGGGTGTAGATTTGTACAAAGTTTACAAACACACTTTTTTAACAGTAAAAGGGCATACAATGCATACAAACGACAATAAAATGCAGAAAATATAATATTTTAATCAATAAAGCAGTTTCAACACCATTTGGGTAAAAAGTTATGAACAGCGACGACAGTAAGCAGTAGACACAGAAAGATAAAAATAGCGCAGGCGCAGCAGAGATAGGGCAAGAGAGGAGGAAAGGGAAGCTTAGTGGGAAAACACATGCCTAAAACATCGCGTAATTTGTTCTCCATTATAACAATACATTTTTCTGATTGGTTGGTCAATTGACAACGAATTGTTTCTGGTCCCAAGTAACTTAACACTTTAAAAAACTCTTCCTTGGTGGGTTTATCGGATTATTGCTATTTTATATCGGTAGGGGGGGACAGGTGGTGAATTTCCCCTTCTGGCGAAGTTACCTGAATCTATATGGAGAGATGTTCTATTTAAAAAATTTTTTTTTGTAGAAGTGTAGCTTTGAATGCTTTTGAATGAATTGAATCGATAAAGAGTAAGAGTGCAAGGAAAGTAAGTAAGTAAACATTATTAAGAATTTTTATTTTCATTCCCATCTCTCATGCTCAGCAGATATTGTAGCGTGCATTTTTGTGTGTAATGAATTTCGACTTAACTCACTTTAGCCCATTCCCGTGTATTTATGGGACACACAGATGGCCCAGTGTCTGAATCCTGTGTATATATATACGAGATGCGCTTTATTGGCGATGATTGATATCTCCGGTGTTTTTCAGTTACAAGCTACGGAAAGCTGCGAGCCAAGAGTTGACCCACTTGTTTTGTTTCATTAAAAAATTGATGAAGTTATAAATGTGCGATACTTTTTTAACTGCAATGGACTAAGTCAGTCATCCTCCCATTGCATTATAAATATGATTTTATTTCAAAATGGGTGAAAAAAAAATTGTGCAACCCCCAGACATTGCTATTTCAAAATATTGATCCTGTAATTTTGTATTATATTCGGACAAATTAGATGCAGTTTTCTTTTTCTGTGAGAGCATTTCTTTAATTCTTTTGCAGCATTTTCTTCATGATAACTTTCACAGTCATTTTCTTTTGTGGTCAACGATTCAAAAACACCAGAACTGTCAGGTTGCAACGGTTGTGGGATGAAAAAATAGCTCAGGATCAAAACAAATTATTGGATTTTGAGATTTGGTGGCTAGGCCTTCAAAAAGCTGCTCATTTGCATGTGGGAGGAAAAGTGAAAAGTTTACCTTAATTTTTTACCTTGTGTTAAAAATTAGAAGAAGGTTGGGTGGGGTGGGGTGGGGGTATTAAACACTTGAGCGAAAAGACCCGGTCACTCAGGAGTCAATGTCCCTTCCATACTATCACTAAGACTAGTTAAAGTTTAGGGCATAGACTGAAGCCAAAGACAAAGAAGAATAGGGTGTAAATTAGAGCAAGTTATAATAACTTCAGTGATCAAGGAGATTTCAGGACCTGTCTATACAATCACCTGGATCTAATCCTTTACAAAATGCTTTTGTAAACATTGCCCACTTTGTAGAAATCACTAGCCTCTTGTGTGTTTTCACTAATGATTTTCCAACTTTTATCTTTTTCCTCAGATTATGACATTTTGAAGAACTTTGATCTTGGAAGAAAATGGCTACAGGAGAAGACAGCTACTACATTACGTTATGTAAAAATCCTGTGAGATTTGAGCCTGTCAGCAAGGCGAACAATGTCTTCTTTGATGATGCAAATAAGCAGGTCTGTCCAAGATAGATTTTTTTTCTAATCTAGATCTTTTATAGGTGCTAGTTTAGTTGAACAAATTCTACTACTATACTGTGTATACCATAAGTCTCGATTGATCAGTCAGTCGACTGCAATCTAGGTAGTCTAGCGGAGCATACGTCCTGCCTGATTGACTATTGTAACGATAGCAATGTGGGCATTTAGACAAAGACAGTGGCTTTTCACAATTGCGATGTTCAGGGCTCCCCTTTTCAGGCCAACTTTAAGAGGTTCCTTCACCCTTTGGTTTACTCTCTTAAGGGGTATTTAAACCCTTGTTGTAGAAAATTAAAGGGAAAAAGTCAATATCTCATAATTTGATTGTAAGATTTTTTGCTTGTAAACATTTAACTCACCCGCACATTCACACAGACACATGCAGAGTGACCATGACTATGATTGATTGGTAACAATTTTTAATAACTTTTATGAATTAAATGAGTAATATTGACTAGAATTAGAGTTGTGTTCGTGTGGAGGGGGGATGAGTGATGGTGGTTGAGCAGTTGGGCCTATCAAAAATAAAATAAAGTTGACGAACCAAAAAGGGGTCAATTTCGACTGTAATACACCTAGAAAAATAGATCTGGTACTTTATAAATTCTAAAAGTCATGATCTCAGTGGGAAAACAAAATTGGGACTTAGTGAAAAAAATGGGGATCAAGGACAAATCTCTTAGGTCAGTGCCAAGATGACTTGAAACATTTCCAGGGGTGTCCATTATTATATCCATGTATACTCCCTTTGCACGTGTACGTGTGTGTGTAGTGTATGTGTGTAGTGTGTGTGTAGTGTATGTGTGTGGTGTGTGTGTGTGTGTGTGCGCGAGCACGCGCTTGCGCCTGCCTGTGTGTAGTGTATGTGTGTGATGTATGTGTGTGCGAGCACACAAAGATCCAAACAACTTCTGGTGAGTTAACTACCAAATTCGACATAGACATTTAGGAAAAAAGTGCTCTGAGTTTCTGCTGCCAAAAAGTTTAACAAGTGCTTCCCACTACGACAGAAAAGAAGGCAGAGTAAGATTTTAGAAAAATTTGGCGCAACAGACGGAACTAAAAAAAATATTTTGAAATCGGGGTACACGCTATCAAAATCGGGAAAATCGGGATGCTTGAGATTTAGGGCAGGGATGAGTGGCAGGTTTAGAAAATAAACTGATTCATGATTGTTCAGGGCCATCCCAGGGTTCACATTCCAGTCTTTCCTGACTTTCGATGGTGGACAATTCATGTTTACTAGTGTGTTAAAGAAGGATGGGGGTAATCTCACGGCTGGGGTAAACTCATGGCACGACTCCGGATAATGTGAGCGACCAGAATGTGGGCGGAGCTTCTGTGCTGAAGCCAGCCGGTGTTGCTAGAAACTGCGCGCAGCTGATAAGTAGGTCAACTAGTCGACTTCTTCTGACACAGAAGGTGACTGTCGTGCCTGTGTGTGGGTGTGTTGTCAAATCATTGACTCGGCTTTGGGATAGAGAAGGGGGGGAATGATGCTTGCCAGACGCACACCACCTACGTTTTAAAGCGTATGCAAGCCCCTGAAATGAAATTATAAAGCGTAAAGCTCACGCACCACCAAAACTTAAAGGGGGTAGTCTGCAGGTTTAATGCCCATTTGTGCGTAATGGGGAGCCCTGGATGTAGAGCGGATAGATTGCTTCATTCTGTAGTGTTATTCAGATTTTAAAAATGAAGCTTATGATTGGCTTACTTATTTTAGCAGCAGTGTTTCAAGAAAAAAAGAAAAGGTTGCTTGAATGCTTGCAAGGTCAATCACAGAAAAATGATTGAGGTGTCAGTCCCTCCTGCTATTTACCTCCTATAGAAATGCTTTCCTCGTTCTCAACGGTAGCTACATCCTTCATCATTCTACTCTCTTTGTTATTTTATCCTTTTATCCTTCTTTGTCTTACTCATCGCTGGCTGTTGCTCAGGTCTGTGTTGTGACATGTTCTTCTGTATATATGTTCTTATTGAAGTCATCACTGTTTGGAATTCTTGAACCCACAACTTTCTGTCACTGTATGTGAGAGAAGAAGGAGAGGTGCAGGTTGCAATAGAATGAAATCTTTCCCTTTTCTCTGCTTCTTTGGAATGGCACTTCTCTCCGTCTTTCCCAACTGATGTCCTTGTCTGAACTTCGTGGTCAGAGATACAATTTAACGCTTTCATCCTTCTTCTACTGGCAGATTTTGTTACTGCTTGTTGTGTCATTGAGGTGGGGATGTATGTCGCACCATTTCTGCCTTTCCTTCACAATAGTTCACTTTCAAGCTGTGCTGTGCTGGCTCAGAACTGGAGGGTGTTTCCGATGCCAAGGTTTTTGGAGTTTAAAGTTTTTTTTATTGAATAATGCATATATTTATGTTTTATTTTTCTTTATCTTCAACTTCTTAAGGAAGAGAGGAATGTGGGATGATTGGTTTATTTGCTAGGGTGTTAAGTTTTATGTGGGACAGTTATCTTTCCCCTACTTGTATGCATTAGAAAGTTGCTTGGAGAGTAGAGGGGGTGAAACAAAGAAACAATGGAAGGGAGACAAAATCTGAAGTGTCTCAAAATTAAATAAAAGTACGTCACTTGTTGTCAGAGCAGTACATTGTGTCTATTACTTCATTTATCTTTTTTGCATTTTGTCCCCCAAGTGAAAACGCTCCCAGTTTTACTCTGTTAGTTAAATGAAGTACACATGTACTAACAAATAGTTCAGTAAGGACTTTTTGGTTTCCAGGTATTTGCGGTGCGGTCAGGAGGCGCAATGGGTGTAGTGATGAAGGGGCCTGAAGAGAAGACCATGGCCTCTTTCAGGTACTTCTACAAATGGATGATATTCTTTTTGTGTCTAGATTTGCATGTCATTTATGTTAATATTATGCTTTTGAATTGTGGGTTTTTGAAGAAGTGCCGTTTATTATGAGTGTATATAATTATAATTTTTTAAATGAAAATTTTGTATGCACACCTGTTATAGCCTTCTGTTTTTACACTTATTCTGAGTCATGGTAGGTTGAACATAAGTTGGGGGCTCTTGTGGTCGAGAGGTTACGGTGTTCGCCTCTCATTCAATAGGTCCCAGGTTCAAATCTGGAAAGGGACGGAAATTTTTTTTCTCCTAAATTGTCTCCTTTCACATCTTTTCCTGCTCTCTAACAATGCTCTGTCGTCTGCTTTTGTCTCCACTTTCTGTCCCACCCCCTCACATCCTTTACCCCCTCCCTCTGGGTTCCTGACTCTTTCTACAGCCTTTCTACTGCTGCTCCTTGGCTCCTTCTTACTACCGTCTTTCAGCCGCACCCCTGATCTTATGGTAGGTAGATCTAAAAGCACCAAGCCTTCTTAGATAAGAGCGAAAAATTTCGGAGGTCCCGTGTGCAAGTTTCGCAGGTTAAATAACACTTGGTGGTCCAAAATCGATAAGAGTAGGCTTAGGCCGCCACCGGAGTAAAATTCAAAATTTCATACCAACTGAAAATGTTTAAGGGTCCCCACGTTCACATGACCTATGCTGTTGCAAGCGCTGTAAAACACAAAAAGAATAAAACAAACAAAAAAAGAACATAAATGGCTGATATCTTGAGAAATAAATATGTAAATAATAGTACAGTCATAGTATGATGTGGCTTTCTGAAAAGCTTTGCTCTTGGCTGACTAATGGAATGTGTTTCGATTTAAAATCGAAGGGAGCTAATAATGACTCACTCCTAAGTTGCAGTGTCTTGTCGTAGAGTGAGAATGAGATGCCTGATAATAGCTTTTTAAATGATCTTCAATAGTGCTGTGCGATTTTGAGGAAACAAAAAATCATCAAAGCTTCGAAGCGTGAACTCACTATTCATGGCATTCGAATATCTCCGTCGAATGTTTTTTTTCGTATATATATATAAAAAGCATAAACCCAGACCTCTAAGTGCCGCTATTTTACGTTCACTAGCTATTCACAGCGCCGTCAAATGTTTTTTTCTTATATGTGATAAGCCCAGACCTGACTTCCGCAACTCGAAGCGCTGTTGAATCGTATTTTCTTATATGTGATAAGCCCAGATCTAACTTTCGCTGTTCACAGCACCGTCGAATGGTTTTTTCTTATATGTGATAAGCCCAGACCTGACTGCAACTCGAAGCGCTGTTGAATCGTATTTTCTTATATGTGATAAGCCCAGATCTAACTTTCGCTGTTCACAGCACCGTCGAATGTTTTTTTCTTATATGTGATAGGCCCAGATCTAACTTTCGCAATTTGAAGCGCCATCGAATCGTTTTTTCTTATATGTGATAAGCCTAGATCTAACTTTCGCAATTCGAAGCGCCGTCAAATTGTTTTTTGATATTGTGATAGTCCAGATCTGACCTCCACTGTTCAACTCAAGTCACTGAGAGCGCGTATGTTGTTGTCGCATGCACGCAGACAGTGCAACGTGTTGACATCACGTCACCGTTTGTAACGCTTCGAATTTCGAGTAGGGTTAGGGGAGCTCATTGCGACAGCTAACTTCAGGGAAAAACCATTGTCTGCGCTTCAAGAGTCAAGTGCCCTTGCTTGAGCCGTCCATAGTGTGACGAGGGGATATTGAATAGTAAGAGATATTCTCTACAGGATTGTTTTAGAACTCTTGTATAATAGTAAGGGATATTCTCTACAGGATTGTTTTAGAACTCTTGTATAATAGTTAGATATATTCTCTACAGGATTGTTTTAGAACTCTTGTAAGCTCCTCTCATCACTCTGTCTCATAACCATCAAATAAAGAGTATTTCTGTGTATTTATCTTAATCATCTTATATATAATGTGCTCCAATTTTTCTATGTTTGAGAAAAATGAGACGAAATTCCATTATCTGTTGAAAAAAACAACCCCACGGCATTCGAATGGCTCTGCCACGGTTTGAATAGCTGTGAATAGTGCAAAAATCATGACTGTCGAATAGTAAAGTTGAATGGGCTCAGCTCTAATCTTCAACTAAACTGTACACATTTGAAATGCTTATTGTGTTGTCATAAAATCACTGTTACTTAATGTAGTACTCTCCGACTCTTTCAACAGGATGGAAGACAGAGGGGATATCATTTCAATCAAGTTTTCTCCTGACAAAAGAATTTTAGCAGCACAACGTTCCATCAAAACAGTGGTAAGCAATAAAAATGAATGCTTATCTTGAATTTTAGCTCAAACTTTAACGCAATAAGTTATACATGTATATTAGAATTTATGAATAAAAGGAATAGGATCAGTTTTTGTGCTCTGTAGTTACGATGGCAAGAGTATTGTGCATTGAGTATTGATTTACACTTATTGAAATGTTTATCTTGGTTGCCTTTAGTGTGTATTTTCTGACAGCACTGCATGATGAAAATTATTTTTTTTCTTCCAGGAATTTCTAAATTTCCAGGAGGACCTAAGTGTGGAACAGCAGGAATATTCCCAGTCCTGTAAAGTAGGAGGGCATTTGACTCACTAATGCTTGTGATAATCTTATGTTGCTTATTTAAAGTACACAGATGAAAATAAAGATGAAACTGCAGCATAAATATTATATAATTTTGTGTGTGTTTTAAAAAAATGTGTTTCAGACTTGCTTCGTGTTTGAAAAGCTCATAGTATCCATACTTTGTTGTTGGCAGAGAAATTTTCTGATGGTTACAAAGCAAGTTTGGTATGAAGTTTCAATGACAGTCCCCTGTGTTGTTGTATTGATAAGGTTTATTATGAATCAAATGTTTCATGGTTTCATGCAAAGACAATGAAAATCAGTACAAAAGTTTAATTTTCTTTCCCTGTATGATGTTTTACTGAAGGACGAAAAAAAGGCTGAACTTTTGGGTCTTTCACATTTCAGGGGAAAACAACTGAAGTACGAGGCTTTGTCTGGAGCTCCCCCAATGAGATTGTATTGATCACCAGCAGTGGCTTGGAACATTACCAGGTACTGACAAATTCTTCAAAAACAATAGTTGCCATGATATGAAGGATTATGTTAATTGAAATGGTAAATGATTTTGTATTACTGCTTATCCTCCTTTCCTATGTGATTAAGCTGTATAAGAAATGGAACCAGTGAATTACTGACGTCTTTATAAGAACCCAGTGAAGTGGATGGGGGACCGTGGAAAGTGTTAGAACAGAAAGATCCTGGTTCACTAGTGCCAATTTGCTTATTGCTAGGCCATAAAATAATCGTTTAAGGTATTACAGCTTTAAGGATGCAAGAACATGAACTTCAAATTTCCTTGATGTTTCTTTAATGGGATTTGGGTAAGATACCTGAACCAAAAGCATGAATGAAATAATCTATATTAATTGATTTTAACACGTTGGTTTAACTTGTCGCGTGTTAATTGCTTAAGTGTACCCTACCCGTTTTACTGCGATCTAAACAATGTAAAGGATGCCTTTGCCTTAAGCTGTGAAGGAAGAAGCAGTGGGAGGTAAAACTAGCAGTAATTACAGTCATTTTTAAAAAGTCAGAGAAAGATATGTGATTAGTGAACTTTAAACAAAATTAGTTTTATGTATACTTATACATTATCAGTTCAAACTCTGTGACATTATTGTCTTGTTTTGAAGGTCATTCCAGAGAAAAGGACCTTGAAAAGTCTGAAGTCTTTGAGCCTGCAGGTCAACTGGTATGTGTGGCTGGTAAGTGGAGATATGTACTGGTAGAAAATTCTACGTCGCAACCTTTGTAGATGTTCATTACAAAAAAGTTTGTAGATATTCATTACAAATAAGTCTGTAGATGTTCCTTACAAATAAGTTTGTAGATGTTCCTTACAAATAAGTTTGTAGATGTTCATTACAAATAAGTTTGTAGATGTTCATTACAAATAAGTCTGTAGATGTTCATTACAAATACGTTTGTAGATGTTCATTACAAATAAGTCTGTAGATGTTCATTACAAATAAGTTTTGTAGATGTTCATTACAAATACGTTTGTAGATGTTCATTACAAATAAGTCTGTAGATGTTCCTTACAAATAAGTTTGTAGATGTTCCTTACAAATAAGACTTTTTATTCATATTGACATATTGAAAGGGAAAGAAAATGGAGAGACAACTAATTATAATAAGTAAACGAATTTTTATGCGCACAAGTTAGTGCCAGTAATCAAATACTGCCAGAAATTTCATGCCTATTTAAGTAACCCCCCAATTTTTTTTTTTGAATGAGCAGATAGATTCCTTTCCTTTTTATAATCTGATTCTGAGATTCCTTTCCTTTTTGTAGTTGATTCTGAGATTCCTTTCCTTTTTATAGTTGATTCTGAGATTCCTTTCCTTTTTATAATCTGATTCTGAGATTCCTTTCCTTTTTGTAGTTGATTCTGAGATTCCTTTCCTTTTTATAGTTGATTCTGCCCAACCCTGAATAACGAACGCTGTGGTCTACATCACCCGAAGTCAGGCTAAATTTTTATCCAAATTTTTTAAATTTCAGAGCTCCAGTGGACTTTTACTTGTGTCATCTGGGACCCTTGGCAATACATTGCACCCTTTTCAGTTTCGGGTAAGTTAGAATCTTGTTTGCTGGGTTAGATTTTATCTTTTTAATTGGTCATACCGATCTCAATATGTACATTATAGTTGAGTGTATACAATACAATGTCTTGAAATCTGGAATTTCTTTATGTAAGTAAAAAGTACATACCAAATGTAGTGGAATTGAAGAAGTACATTTCAAAAGTGTTGGCACTTAGTTGCTTGTACAAATAAGAGAATTGAAAGTTGCTCTCTGCCTAGAGTGCCACTCTTAAGTAATTTGTTATTTTTTTCTTCCGTTATTCTGAATCAAATTATGTTTATTTTGTAGGCTGTTAAATTCAAACAGATAAACACCCCCTTTTCCAGTGTTGTTCAAGAGCATCTGCTCCAAGGAATTGAGAAGCCCCCAATTTCGCTGATTTTTAAAACTCTTTATCTCCGGCAAGCCGCTCCCAGTGGCTCGCGATCGGAACCCCTGCGCCGGTGAGCCGCTGACAGTGGCTCAGGCTAATTCTTTTACAATGACTTCAACATCAAATGACTTTTAGGAAGTTGCCGAAAACAGGTTTCTTTTATCGGGAGTTCATTCATTAGATGAAGAACTGAACTATCAAAACTTGTTTTGATTTAATGACCAATTTAGTGACGATTTTGTCGTTTTTAGATTTAGTACCAAAAACGGGCCCTGGCATAGTGAGTTGACCCCCCTTGGAGATAAAGAGTTAAACAATTAAGATGAGAATAAGTAAAGGGATGGTATCAGTGACTTGAATCACTCTTTGGTGACATTTGTTTCTGTATGGAATCTTCTCTTTTTGTCTGTTTTTCTAGATCAGGGTTGTGCAACATTTTTCTCTGGCGAACCAAGTTTGAATATTGAAACAACAGTTAGAGACTGTGGTCATCAGGAATATGTCATGATATCTAGTGTGTTGAGTTATTGAAATATAAATGTTTAGTAAGGGATAGACTGTCTAGCCTGGAAGGCATGATTGCGACTTGCAGGCCACTTGTTGCACACCCCTGTCCTAGATGGTGGCTAGTTATTTCAGTCATAGCAAGCAGCAATGTACGTGTATTTTGACATGTACCATGTGTGAAGCAGTGTGTTTTTTGACATATTAGTACCATGTGTGAGGCAGTGTGTTTTTTGACATATTAGCACCATGTGTGAGGCAGTGTGTTTTTTGACATATTAGCACCATGTGTGAGGCAGTGTGTTTTTTGACATATTAGCACCATGTGTGAGGCAGTGTGTATTTTGACATATTAGTACCATGTGTGAGGCAGTGTGTTTTTTGACATATTAGTACCATGTGTGAGGCAGTGTGTTTTTTGACATATTAGTACCATGTGTGAGGCAGTGTGTTTTTTGACATATTAGTACCATGTGTGAGGCAGTGTGTATTTTGACATATTAGTACCATGTGTGAGGCAGTGTGTATTTTGACATATTAGTACCATGTGTGAGGCAGTGTGTTTTTTGACATATTAGTACCATGTGTGAGGCAGTGTGAATTTTGACATATTAGTACCATGTGTGAGGCAGTGTGTTTTTTGACATATTAGAACCATGTGTGAGGCAGTGTTGTGAAATTGGGCACTCATCAAAATATACATTTTTATCGAATTGTTATTTTTGGCTCAACCTTGTTTACGTCCGTATAAAAGCACATTTCCATATGAATTTTACTGAAAAACATAGATTAAAGGTACAAAATATGTCATTTTTCTGTTTTCAAAGAATCTTTAGCTATTGGAGTTGCCAAACTCTGGCAGCAATTTTCTCACTAATTTCACCACTAAAACCAGGCGATCTCACTTCCTTCAATGGCAAATATCTTGAATTCTATTCAAAATAGATGGATATTTATTTCATTGGAAGCTAGGCAGATAAATCAGCTTTCAGATGTTACCAATAATTTCACATTCCCAAAAATTGGCGAGCGCCTGATTTCACCCCGTCGTGACGCATGTATGAACATTTTTATTTGTTTTTTTGTTGTGTCCCTTGTGCAGCAACCGGGAGTGATGACGAGACTGGCCAAGTTTGAGGTGGACCTGCCAGTGATTCCCAAACCTCAGAAGCTGTGTTTGCTGGACCGGGATGTGACCATCGCTGAAATGTAAGAATCTAAATTTCTACCTTTAGTGTTTTTTGAGCACTCTTAAGATCTTGAATTCCTTAAAGATTTCTTTTAGTTCCTAAATAATGAGATGGTAGCCTTTTTTTGCAGCATACTTTACCATCACCTTTCAGTTTGTAGCACGAATGTGTTTTGGTTTTATTTTTTTTGCTGACGATTCTGTTACTTCCTATCTTGCGAAGCACAATTTACTTAAAAGTTTTTATATTCATATAATTCATATAACAATTGTAGAAGAGACTAAAGCTGAGACATTCAAATGTGTGAGTATGAGATCTATATATCTGAAACCTTAAAAGTCTGAATGTTTATTTGTGTTTCATAAGGAAAGTGATGTGCCTATTTTTCTTGGGATTGTTAAGTTTTTGTCAATTCTGACACAGATTTGTGTGTGTGTGGCATTGTGGTGAAGTCTGGCTCTCTTCAAAATACTCGAATCAAACAAGCTGACGTTTTTCTACTCTTAGGGCAATTTTTGTTGACTTTTTTGGCTTAACGTCTGTTCTGTCCTTTGAAAAAACACGTCTATGTGTGGATTTGACGAAATGCTGATCAAAGGCCCCAAAAATGGAAAGTTAAAGTTTCCATGGATATTTAAGCTTCAGAAGTAAACAAACTTTGTTGGCCATTTTCTCGCTAATTTTACCTCTTGCGCCACCTCTTTCTATCTCAAGATCTTCGACTTCTATTCTTGGAGGATGGGTATTTTTGTCATCAAAAGCAAGACACATGTATAGATGACACATGTATAGATGACACATGTATAGATGACACATGTATAGATGACACATGTATAGATGACACATGTATAGATGACACATGTATAGATGACACATGTATAGGTCTGAAGATGACACCATACTTCCAAATGCTCAAATAAAAATTGACGAGCGTCTGACTCCAGCACGTTGTGACAAAATCTGTTCTGCTTTGTTTGCTTGCAGATATGACCAGCTGTACATCGTGATCCTGCGTCATCCGCCGAGTGCAGCCAGTGGAGCTGAGATCGTCCTCTATCAACTGCAGAAGTAGGTTTTTTTTTTTCTCATGGGCACACCACGTCTTGGTTGATTGTAAATGTTTTCCAACTCCATCAACACAGTAAAGATCTTTTAAGAGGTGTGAGCTTTGGCCCTCCCTGTTGTGACGAAGGCAGGCAGGCTGTTGTGACGAAGGCAGGCAGGCTGTTGTGACGAAGGCAGGCAGGCTGTTGTGACGAAGGCAGGCAGGCTGTTGTGACGAAGGCAGGCAGGCTGTTGTGACGAAGGCAGGCAGGCTGTTGTGACGAAGGCAGGCAGGCTGTTGTGACAAAGGCAGGCAGGCTGTTGTGACGAAGGATCTATCTAATCCTAGATTATACTCCTACGTTGGTTTCAAATACTCACTGTTTCGAGCGGGGAACGATGAGTGGGAATCGTACAGGTCCGGAGCTCCGTCCACTGTGACGACCCACCAGTAGCGTCGATCCCTGCTCAGACTAGATCTAGGTTTTAGTCATGGCTCGGAAGGCCACTTTAACCTTCGCTGTCTGTTTATATACCCCCCGTGCTCCTTTATTCTCCTACACTCACTAGGCTACACTGAGTTTGTTTACTTATTTCACGTGATTCTGGCTTGTCTGGTAATCACAGCGAATTATAAACCACACTCTATGTGACCTTTATTGTGCTGACTCACAGTAAACAGCCACTCCTTCTCTTACTCCCCATAGAGATGGAAAAAAGAGACAAACGTGCTATGGCTGCATATAGTTCACAAAAGTAATTCCTTTACAGGAGCCATTCAAAAGAATGACGGTGTTGATTTAAGAGCAATGTTTTCACAGCTGTGCTGTCCTTTTGGTAAATGGTCAGGACATCTGTGCTTCGTTCCGTCTGCTAGCCTAAACGTTCCGTTGAGGAGAAAAGTGGTCACCCTAGACATATGGTCCTCACGGACAGTGTCATTATGATACAGCCATAATTCTATGGGAAAAGTGGTTGTTTACACAGATGATTGTCACGAACAGGTGATTGTTCAAGAAAGTTTGACTGTATTTTTTTTCCTTTCACTAATTTAGTATTTGTATAAATATCTGAGAGTGGTTTGTGGGTACTATGGTGTGATCTATTCTTTTTTCATTGTTTCAGAAACACTATTTTTTAAATGATCTTTTCTGGTTAAATGCGGCCTTTTTCGCATCACATCACCGTTCACTCAAAATCAACATCCTCAATGTACTGACGACTATTTTGTCCATTTTCTTCAGGGAGAGTCCAGCCAGGAAGTCGGATGTTCTTAAACTGGACATGAGTGGACGTTTTGCTATCAATGTGGTGGACAATCTGGTGATGGTGCACCACCAGGCATCCAAGGTCAGCCCTGTTTTCTTTTTGGAAATGATTTTCTTTTATGAAGCATGTGTCTCAAATATTTGGTGGCTAGATTACTTGGAGGAGCAAGAATGGATAAATCTATATCTGTTTTAGTTGAGTGATAGTTCTGAATTATTTGTTTCTGGTGTCTCTCATAGGCATGTGATAGGTAATGATAGATTCATATACACACCGACTTACAGTCGCGTACACACGCGCACGCACACATGCACGTATGCACAAGCTTACTGAGAGAGGTAGAGGACTTAAATTTATTAACTTATGGATTCTGTGGCAAATTTTGTTGCGAACCCAATGTCAGTTTTGATATCATTGGACCAGATTACCAAACTTGACTTTTCTTATAGCAATGAGTACATGAGTGTGAGCTTGTGTCCTCTGCAGACATCTGTGATATTCGACATCAAGCTGGAGGCAAAGTCTGACGGCTACGTCAACTATCACTACCCGGTGTTGTCTCCCCTGGGGATACGACCCTTCAAGCTCTTGTTGCCTTGTGAGTTGTACTGTTTTGTGAAGTTAACAACTCACATTTTTAACAAAATTGTTGAGGTGTGTATTTGTTTGTATGTGGGTCTGTGTGTGTGTGTGCATGTGTGCGTATATGTGCGTACGTGCATGCCTCCGTGCTTCGTGCTTGGGTGTGTTTGTGAGAGAGAGAGAGAGAGGAGAGGAGAGAGAGAGAGAGAGAGAGAGAGAGAGAGAGAGAGAGAGAGAGAGAGAGAGAGAGAGAGAGAGAGAGAGAGAGAGAGAGAGAGAGAGAGAGAGAGAGAGGGGAGAGAGAGAGAGGGGAGAGAGAGAGAGAGAGAGAGAGAGAGAGAGAGAGAGAGAGATGCGTGTGTGCAAATGTGGACACATGGAGGAGAGATGAAGGAAGAGAGAAAAAGAATGAAAATGAGAGACTCTATTTATTGCTGTTCTGATGCTGTTGGTGAATGATTGTAGTTGTCATGTAAACATTGCAGTAAAGCAAAGTGAATGTTGTTATTATTATTATTATTATTATTATTATTATTATTATTATTATTATTATTATTATTATTTTTATTATCATTGTGATTTTACTTGGAGGCTCGACCCCTTGCGGCGGTGTTACTGACTCAAGTGTCTTTAGGCCATTCTCAAAATTAGGACATTAACATGTTCTTATGCACAGTAAAACTGTAAATGGGCTGATTCATCAATGTCATGCTCGTAACTGTGCGTCAACTGCAACAGGAACTGTTGCTTTTTCTTTCCAAATCCTTACTATCGTCATTTTTTCTTCTACTTCTTTTGTATGTTTGTCACACTCTTGTGACGCGCCATTTCCGAGGTGCCTTGATAGTCAAAGCAGACTTTGTGCTGTTGAAGCTAGAGAGGTGAGCAGAGTAAGCCTGATTCCTTGTAAGAACTTCTCTTTTGACCTCCACCCCTTGGCGCTCATATGACTTAATGCAATTGCTAGTGCCATAAAACACTTAACAAAACAAACAGAACTGAGAGAAGGATGCCTCCAAGATCTAATAGGGGAATGTCTCAGAAGAAGAAAAGAATAGAGAAGAAGAAGACACAGTGGAAGCTGTCTAAGTCTTAAGACGGCCACTCATTGTCAAGGAGAAAAGTGGCCATCTGAGGTGGCAGTGTGACACAATGTCATTATAAGTCTTAAGACGGCCACTCATTGTCAAGGAGAAAAGTGGCCATCTGAGGTGGCAGTGTGACACAATGTCATTAGAAAGTAAAATTAACAAAAGGTAGAAAATGGGAAGTGGCCGTTTGTATAGGTAATTGTCTTATATAGGTGGTTCGTTTTTTAGCAGGTTCAAATGTTGTTCAATATATCAAATACGTTCTCATTTTCCTTGCTTTTGAGTTGATTTATTGGTGCCAGACACAACAATCTTTACATTGATTCAATTCATTTCTGTCAGAATACACAAATGGGATATTGTTTGGAATGGAATTTGTTGTTTTTTCTTTTTTTATGTGTCACTGTAACCCACAGTGTTGTGACTTTCTGTGTTCTATTTCAGCTGTGAATATGCAAGCCGGAACAGACAAAACTGAATACAACTGTGAATTGTGTATCCTTTGTCAGGTATAGGAGTGTGACCACTGGTAATACTGTTAACAGTTATACTTTCAAGACAATGGGCTTTTTAACTCTTTTATTTTCGGCAAGCCGCTCCCAGCGACTCGTGATAGGAACCACTGTGCCGTTGAGCCGCTAGCAGCGGCTTAGGTTTTTCTTTACGACGACTTTGACATCAAATTACAGGGTGATCCCAAAAAAAACTACAACTTTTTTTGTTAATAATTACCTCCACACTGAAGTTTTACGTTTCAAATTTGTACACAACATTTGGAAGTCAAAAGGAATTTGTCTGATATTCATTTCCACAAAATAATTTTGCTCTACATAGCGCGTAAAAAACAGCCCATTGTCAGCCATGTCCCCATTTTTGTCGCATGACGCACTAGTTCACATTGGGCCTACCACTGAAAGCCCCAACGATTGCGCCATGTCGCAAACTGCAGTAGTCTAGGCCAACAGAAGTTTGCTGATAGTTTTTCTCAAGTTTTCTTTGCCTGCTGAGATCATGGTTAAGATTAGTAAAGAGCAGAGAGCTTTTTGTATTGAACATTTCCTCACCACCAGTTCATTTCGTAAGTTTCGCACAAGGTACGGAAATAATGGTAAAGTGCCATTAACGCCTTCTTTGATGTCAGGGTGGAAATGGTCCATCAGTTACAACCCTAAAAATTCTCAAGACAGATCTTCATCTATGGCTGTACCATTTTCGCGTTCACGAAGCTATGAAAGGATAACAATTTGTTCATGCACGGCGCACTGGCAGTGGAATTTTAGTTGCAGGGGGGGGTTCTCCGCTGGGCGCCTTATCACGTTGGGGTCATGGGGGTCAGCTCCCTGTCTTCGCCCTGTCTGGGCTGACTTAATTTTTGGTACTTTTCTACATATAGTTTTAGATGTATCCGTGTATTTATGGTAATTATCTTTTAATGCACCCAATGCATGCATTTCTGCTCTTGAGACTCGAAAAGGAACAGACATTGTAACTTGTCTGGTTATTTCGTTAAATGCGCTGAAGTCAGCAATGTTAAATTGTAAAATATTTTGGACAAATGTGAATGAAAAAAAGTCAATATAAAAAAACCTGCACAACAAAAACTGTCAAACTTTTGGAACATGAACGATATAACATTGGTGCAGACACTCAGAAAAGATGGTATCTGCGCATATAATAGAAAGCTGTAATTTTGCAGCTTTATCCATCTGGCACACAATTTGCTATGAAGTAATTCCTCCAAATACAACTTTATGTGTCTAATATAATTGTGAATATTCACATATTTTCTTGAAAGTTTATGAAAATTACCCTGTAGTCTCTCTATGAAGTAATACAAATCGATTTTAGTGCCAGAATTCATCTACAATGCAATACACGAACAGTATCTGTTAGTGTTACTCTCCAGAAATTCCTTACTTTTCTTAAAACACTATGTCTAAGTTTTGTAAGTTGACTGAATAACAGGGATGACTTCTCATAATTGGGTTATAAGAATCATTTCTAGCTTTCCAGGGACACTGAATCAGCACCAGACTTTTCCAGCTGTTATTTTCGTTTCTATGAAAAGATATGATATTCGTAGTCAGTTTAACACAGATTTTGAAGAGATCTGTCATGTTGTTTTTAAATGAACAAATATTAATTTATAAGTTTGTAACTAAAATAGGACAAATTGGGAACTCTACGAACATTTGTCTAGAACAAAAACTAAGGCACAGAAAGTAACCATTGTAACGCAGAATAAATCTCAAGACATTGAGCTTTTAGTGCATCAGTGTAATGGTTTGCTGAGTAGAATGGGGAAGAAGTTATTTCGTTTAAAAAATAATTAAAAATGCAAACTTCCTAACCAACACCGGCAAAGTCGCTTCAGGGCTCTTTAACCCCGTGATCCAGAGCCGGGGAGCTCCGGCGGGCTGCTGAGTCACACCAACTAAAAGTAACAGAATTGGGTGAAAAGTGAAGCCATTCATGATTTCCCCATGCATGATTCCTCGATCGTCTTGAAAAGTGTGAACATTTCCTCTATGACATTTGGTTCCTTGACAAAGCCCATATTCACCTTTCACTCTACAAATGCTGTCTATTTGGGCAACATCATCCCCCCCCCCTCCCCCCCATTGTCTTTAGAGACAGCTCCATTCTATAAGGTGTACAGTCTGTGTGTGTGTATGTACAGTGTGTGTGGCTTTGAGTACTCATGGTTGAGTGGATCCTTGTGTTTGGCCATCACTGAACATTACGAACGTCGCATGCAAATGTTTCGAGTCCAAAGTTGACATAGATCTATATGAGCGTAGACCATTGGTTCACGGAATTCCAGAAGGTAAAAAATATTTTTTTAAACTCTGTAGGAGAAAAGAAATATAGTTTAAAGGTTACAGGGATGGAAAGATTAGATTTTTAAAATAAAAGGAAAGAAAAAAATAAGCCAATCATTTCATGAGATTTCATGAGATGACATTTCCTCTTACAAAAATCTTGTAAATTGGTGCATTTTGCATTTATAGGTGTTTGTATAAAAGCCATTTCTGTTTTCGAAAATAAGTTTCTTTGTGAATTTTTTGTCAAACAAATTCCTTTTGAATGAATTCTATCTGTTCCAAATCACAACATTCTAGTACATATTTTGTGCGAGATATTTAGAAAAGAAGTTCTACAGTTTTGTTTTTTTATCACTCGTACTTTTCATCATTTGCCGAAAACAGGTCTCTTTTATTGGGATTTCGTTTGTTAGATGAAAAATTATCGAAATAGGTTCACTTGTCTTGATTTAATGATTTAGTGACGATTTTGTCATTTTTAGATTTAGTACCAAAAATGGGCCACGGCGTAGTGGATTTACCCCCTCGGAGATAAAGAGTCAATGAATATGCTGGGGTAATAGTAGAGATTGTGCAGAGCATAGAGCTTGCTGTTGAGCGGGAATTTGTGCTATACAAATGCTATCTATTATTATTATAGGAATATATCGGAGCAACAATTTGATAAGATTCGATTCTATTTTCTTCTCTCATCCTCCACAGCTGACGTGAGAGGAAAATGTATTATTCTCAGTTACATTGGGATATTTTGAAAATATCATATATGTAGTTTATTCTGTTTTTTTAATAGAATCTGTAAAGTAGCTTATTCATTCCTGCTCTTGTCTTGTGTGGATTATAAATCTGGTTTATAAACCTACATCTAACATTTTAATTCTGTCTGAAGACTGATGTCTTGTGATGTTTTTTCCTTATTATGGAAAGATTCTGCCAACTGGATTGTCTTTCAACCTGACATTGTGATTGATGCCAAGCTGGGTGAGTTTTTTTTCTTGTTTTTTTTATGTTCTTGACTTTGAGACGACAGTGGGACGTGTCCTTGAGTTGAATGTGAAAACATTGGATGAGAATCAGGACACTACTGCAGGGACCGGCAGTGTTTGAAAAACTGCTAGCTCATGTAATGGTAATAATTGCTGTGTTGTTATTTATACATTTATTATGTAACACAACTTTGGAATTTTTATACAAATGCATGATAAAACATGTCAAAACATGTCATTGTACCTTAGATTTTGTTGTAGAGGGGAAATGGCTGAAAGCATTTTTTGGTTTTAAAAAATTGTTTGTGCTGTGAGAAATGTACGTGCCCACAAGTGTTGGGCAATGGTCTGTCTGTTTACAAGAGTTTTTTTTGTGTTGGGTTTGAATTGTTTCGCTTGTTTTTTCCTCTCTCCTTTGTGTTTTATGTTGGAGATTTTTCTGTTTTCATTTCTCATCTGTCATCTAACTGATCTGTGGAAACTAGATTCATGTCTGTAAGATTCTTAACTGACTCTGAAAGTTTTTGCCTCTCTGTGTACTTTTCTTCTGTTTTGAAACACTCAAAAAGTGGAAAAAATCACAGAAAATGCACTTTGGGGGGGGGGGTGGTACTGGAATAATACGCTTAGTCTTGACCATTTGATGTGTGTTTGTTTCTCAGGATGTTTGTGGACTCTTCAGATGAACTTAAATCCTCTGGTGACCATGATCCCAGACAAGGTAGGTCGAACTGTCAATCAGAATGTGTGCTGTGATAGTGATAGCTTTCTGAGAAATTCCTTGAAAGAACAACAGTAAAAGTGATCACAAAAGGGACATATATACATAAGTATTCTGAAGGACTTGATTCCCTCTGTAGTCACTTTTTATTTTTTCCTTTGCTGTTATCTGTGCAGAAAAATGTTTCCTGAGTTTCAGTTCTCTCTTTGTGTGTGAGTTGACTGTATTTGTGCAATTCCAATCGTGGTGATAGAATTGCATTGACCTCACTGTACACTCCCTCGACCAGGAGGTACTCACCTCTTACACCTAAGTATGGGATTGTAGGGTTGTTCAAGAGAGTAGAGTAATTTTTCTTCTTTTTCATATTAATCTAGCTGTGGGCCTGTCATCTTCAGCCCAGTACCTTGTCCAGCTGTTTGTCTGAGGTCTCACATTCCACGAGAAAGGATGGCAGAAATGACTACTGTCATATTTAAAATTTGTGTAACAGTTTAACTTGTCCTAATGGCCACCTGTCCGAGACAGTCACGTGTACAAGGGACTACTTCCTGCTTCCCACTCATCTTTTTTTTTTCTCTATCATAATGACATTGTTCAAGATGACAAACTGTCTAATGCAACCACTTTTCTCCTGGACAATGGGTGGCTGTCTTGGAGAATTTCGACTGTAATCAAACGATAATCCGTTTCCCCCTCGCTATGACAGGACCGCCTGATCCAGTTCCTGCTGTACCGGACAGACAGTAAGGGCGTGGTCCTGTCCGTGTGCGCCCAGATGTTGGTGCCGGGCTCTCAGGCCAGTCTGCAGTCCCTGGCCCGAGTCTATGACATGCTCAACCTCAGCTACAAGCAGTACCTCACCACAGAGTCTCAGGTCATGGTGAGTGCAGCCCTTGTTGTGTCCCCTTGTTTTGTCCGTACACAAATGTTTTCTGTGGATGGCTGATCACCTTCACACGTGTCTACAGTTGAACCTGATCTGGAAGTGATGTGTGTAGTGAAAAGAAAGACAAAGTTGTAGTGCTGTATGTGTGGTAAGTGAGAAGAAGGAGAACATTTTATTTTTTTGAGGACTTAAACAATTTTGTTAATGATAGTAATAATAGAGATCAGCATTTGTTTAGCGCAAATCCCCGCTTAACAGCAAGCTCTATGCGCTTTAGTCTATATTGTTACCCCAGTAGACCTGACAGCATTCTGAAACAATCTCAACTTCCAGCGAAGCATACAGTGTGAGCTGCTATTTTCCAGGCACTGCTTATTCTTAGTTCATACTGTGAATATAATAATAATAATAATAATGATAATAATAATAATAATAATAATAGATTGCTTTTATCTTGTGCTCTGTCCCATACCAGCAAAAGCTCTGGGCGCTTTCCACCAATCACATGATCATTCACGCACAAGAAAATATTTCACAGAAACAAGACAACCCAGTTGAGCCACATAAAGAAGAACTCTCACAACCACACATTAATTGGTACCCGAAAGGACAGCAGTAAAAAACAAACATATCAGCATTTACTAACACACTATAACTAAGAATTAAACAAGTGAGTCTTGAGCAATCACTGAAACGTATCACAATTTGTTCTTTCTCTGAGATCCTGAGGCAAGGTGTGTTGCACTGGGGTTGTTTGCCATTATTGTATATAATAAAGCAAAAGTAAGAACTCCGTTTCTAAATGAAGAAGGGTAATTTAATGATGAAAATAGTATGAGATCTGCCCTCTCTGGCTTCACTGACAAGACTAAATAAATCATAATGAGCATGAGTACATGTGATTGAAACAGGAAGGAGGAGTGACTAAAGATCACTAAGATCAGACAATCTTTGTTGTGAGGGTAGATAAATAAAAGTACAATTACAGGGACATAATTCAACATGTTAATATAGGGACCAACAATCCAGGATTTATTGTTTCCCTTCTGTATATTGATAAAAGCAATCTAATAGTCTAACAAGGTGTTCCAGATTTTAGGGCCCAAAAATGGGAAACTTTTCTCCCCAAAAGATCGTAATTTCTTTTATACAAAGTTTCCACAACTAATTTTGACTTCTTATATTTCATGCATTTTTTTGGTCCATGCGTAATTCTTTATCATATCTTCCGTGTCTTCCTGCCTTCAGAATGGCGAGCTTGCTTCTGGCAGTTCCAGCAAACGTGTTGTGGTGGACCAGTCTGATATGTTCACCCATGTTTTCTCTGTGTTTGAGGAGTACAAGGTATGACTGGTGTTGCAGTTCTGTGACTTCTGTAAGGAATTCGTGTTCCCATTGTATGTGTGTATTAACTCACCCAGCCCTGATGCCAATAGTATCGGTACGCACACACAACACTGCCACCCTAACGCCGACAGTATCGGTATGGAAAATTTGGCTCTCGCCACTCTTGACCAAAAACACTACTTTTGTTTGAAGCAGACTATAACCTAGTTGGAAAAGTAACCATTTTTTGTTTGAAACAGACTATGACCAGAAGTGCAAGTCCAAATTTAGAACAAAGAAAGCTATATTTGTGAACCGTGTGAGGGGGTGCGTAATTTGAATGCACTTCCTTTCTTCGCTTTTTGTTTGCTTTTTAACTCTGCCTAGACCTTTTTCCACGGAGTATTTCATAAAAACTGACATATTTTGCCTTCAATTTTTCAGTACACACAAATAAAGGTTTGAGTTTGAATAAAATGTATACCAAATTTGGGTAGGATGTTAAATTTAGTAATTTTTTCAATTTTTAAAAAAGTGGTAAAAATCTCAAGAGAGATCTTACAACACGGAAGTGTAGGCCTAGGGTTGAGTGAGTTAAGATGAAGATAGGCCTATATACAAATATGACTTTTTCATTTTACTGAATGCATTGTCGTTTTCCTTAATCTCTTCTTTGCCAGGCCATTTTCGTGTCCTTTGCCAGAGGAAAATGTAACCAGCTTGGTTTTCTCTTACATTTGCTCATTACATCTTTATAAGTAATGGTAGACTGTTTAGACTGACTTTATCATCAGAATTATTATAAGAAAGCAAGCTCTGAAATATGTAAAGAGTCTTAAAGTTGTCTTTAGATACAACTTATTTACTCTCTCCCTGTACCGTCTGGAATACAAGGCAGAGAGCAGTTGACACCATTCTTCTTTGCCCTGGCAACTGATCCGCAGTAACTCAAACAGTCACGCCAAAAGGCACCACTGGGAAAACGTTTTGTATTTTCAAAAACTGCTTGTTTTGAGTGTGGAGTTCCATGGGAAGGTTGCAAAATATCTTGCCGACTTGTCGTCAACTACAGATCAATAGACAGTGGCAGATCGTGTGTCTTTTCTGCTTTTTTTTTTCTTCCATCTAACGTATGATGATTTAGCTATGTGTTCACCGTGTGCTGGTCTTATGCTATCTTCCTGCCTCTGCTGATAGGACATCAAGTACAAGTTCATGGTGGCTGTGCTCATCGAGTACATTCGATCTCTCAACCAGTTTGGCATCCCGGTGCAGGTCGGTGGATTGTTTCTGTAACAATTGTGGATCAGAAAGAAATTATATATATAATAATATGTGTATTTAAGATGTGCTGAATGGTAGTTAGATTTATCTTTTGATCCTCTTTGCCAAATAATTGTATAAGATTAATAGGGAGAAAACGGGGGAGGGGGATGGGGCTATGGTTTTTACTGATACACATTAACACATTACACCCTAAGGGCCTGGACGGGAAGTCCATTGTTAGATCCTAAGCAAGGGGAAGGAACCCACCTCCCGTGAATACAAG